TGAGAGGGTCTGGCCTTTTTGTAGAATTTGAGTTGTAGTCTATCTGTTGCTTTCATTATGTCTATTAGTGTCTATTGTGTCCCTGGTCAGAATGGTGGCTAGAAATCCCTGAGCACCAGGCTAGAAGAGGCTGTGGCTTATGTGGAATATTAGTTCTATGGACTGCTTTATTTTTTGAGTCTTTCACTTCCCTCATTCTCTGTTGTTCCTAATGGTTACAGACCAATCATGGTGTGGATACGCACTTGCAAGCTTTTAAGACTTTAGATGCTCTCACCAAATTGGCATGTAGGACATTGTATTAGGCTGGATACTCTAGAGAAGCAAAACAAGCAAACAAACAAACAAGCAAAACCAGTGACACTTATACCTGTATATAAAGGGAGCTGTTTATATCAGGGGAAGAGCTCACACAGTTGTAAAAATGGTTAAGTCTAGTCTGGTTCAAGTCTGTGTGTCAGATGTTAAACTGGAGGCTTCTCCTGATGGGGCTTGTTGATGGGGCTGGGAAGTCAGGAAGGAAGGAAGACAGAAGATGAACTAGGAGGAAGGAGGAGAAAGCAGAGACCATAGCTGGTGACTACAGAGGTAGATCAGAAGATTAGATGTTCTAGCAGACTGCTGAAAGCTCCCAGAATTGGCAGACAATATGGGAGGTCTTGGCTCAAGTCCAGAGAGTTAGAGATGGGTGCCACAGATGTATTTTCCACACCAGCAAGAGGAGAGAGCCTGGGAGGAGGAAGAAAAGAAGAGTAAAGGGAAGGGGGAAGAAGGGGAAGGGAGGAAGGGAGAGGGGGAGGGAGAGAGGAAGGGTTCTCCATAGCATTTATTTATAGTTATGAAATAGGCCACACCCCAGGAGGCCTGGTAGGGCGTGACCAAGGGTAATGTAACCGAGAGGAATCACTGAAACCCAAATGAAGGCTGAACATGATAGTGGGACAAGAGGAAAATAAAGGGAAATAGAGGAAAGAACTAGGAGGCAAAGGGCTGAATAAAAGCATGTACATATGTAAATATATTGAGAATGTGGAACTAGATCTATGTACATATATGTATAGGTTTAGTATTAAGGTAGCAGATGGACATTGGGCCTCCACTCAAGTACTCCCTCAATGCAAGAACTCTTTGTTCTATTAAACTGACATTCCATCATGCTCACCTTCCCGACGCTATCGCTGAAGACAAAGCGTGTGCATATGAAAATGTGGTGAAGAAAGCTGATGGTGCCTGGCTATCAAAAGATATAGCGTCTGGGGTCTTAAAAGCTTGAAGGTAAACAAGCGGCCA